ATAGAGTCTTCAAAGTGTGCTGCAGAGTAAATACTTTGTCAAAGAAATCTTTGTGCTCTGTCAATGCCAGTTTTCTTTGAGAAATTGTGAGTAACTTGAAATTCAACAGTCATGTTGCCAAAGACTTACCAAGTATTACCAAAATGTGAAAGAAGGCAAATACTGCTTGTTTTCAGTTGCTGTGTTTCTGCTTGCAGGCAAGAGTTCCTACTTGTAGGCTGGTTGAACTGCAATTACAGTATCTTTTTTTTTGTGTATGTGTGTTCTAATTATTGTAATTTGGCTTTTTTAAATGTAGGGTGCTAGAAAAGCAACAAATATGCAAGTACTAAATTTATTTTGAGGAATTGCACTCGTGTCCTTCCATTGTCATTTGACAGAGGTCCTGTTGTGCCCCAAAGCAGAACTGAACAAAAGTTCCAACATGCCTGGCAATACCGATACAGTAAGAGTGAATACGAGGGTCAAACTTCGTATCTTAAAATTAATGCAAAGGAAGACTACAGAACAAAGAATGGTGTTCAGATACAATTTTGCTTAGGAAATTTCTTAAGTACATCATGCTGTGCTATGCTCTGGGTAGTCAGAAGAAGGGACTTTAACTGTCCAAATACTTTTCGGGACAGGAATATAGTGTGAATAGATGAATAAGGTGCAGTTTCATGTTACTGTCTGGGTGTTGCAAAAAGCAGTGAAGCTGCTCTTTTCCTCAAACACCCTCTGTCTCTGGGCTGAGTGCTCCTACTGCATCCCTTTGACTGTGGATTATCTGACCACATGATGAGCTAGGAAGCTAATGTGATGGAAAATTAACTTGGGATGGGGGGGGACGAAGAGCAAGATGATTTTTAGGTTTTGGATGAACTCTTTGAATAGCTTTAATCACAAATTTGGATGAGCATTAGTACAAGGTAGAGGGAGTTAAGTTTGAGGAGCAGTACCATCATTTTGAAAGTACTGGATCAAATTAGCATCACAGCACAACCAACTCCCAAAACTGTATTTCTGATAGCTTTTTATGTCATGCAGAGAAAGCAACTGAAGAGGAAAGCTTTTCTGGATATGAGCCTAACTAATAAGTTGAAAATGGTTAACTGCGAAAGTGGAAGGCAGTTTCAGTGAGAATAAACTACCTTCAGTGAGTATGAGTTGTGAAACACAGTATGTATGAAAGATCCAAGACACACGAGAGAGAGAGGGAAGAAACTGCTGAGTCTCCTGAGGTTTTTGTAAGACAACTGCAGCTATTTCAACGCAGTTTCAATAAAAAGGATACCTTAACACAGAAATCTGTATGCACTGAAAGTGGAAATGGATGAATAGGACCAAATAATATGCAAACAATATTTACATGAAAGACCTCAAAAGGAGAGACAAGCAATGAATGTGCAGAATAAGATAATAGTCTGTAAATATTTGTAATAAGAGGAAACCTTCTTGATTATATTTGCTACTGAGGTGATTGAAATGTTTATCTGCCATAGCTTTTCAAGAGTCTTAATATTTTTCTTGCTCTTGGTACTCATTTTAAAACAACATTGTTTTAATTTAGTGATGCAGCTAAGCCAGTTTAATGGCTAGCTGCTACCAAGGGGGATCATCTCTTCCTCCCTTTCCCCACTGCTGTCAAGGGACATGGAGCAGAACACCCGCCCCCTGGCAGTTCAGACAGCTATTTTGTCAAAGACTAATTGTTTCTAATTGTTTGCCGGGGCAATAACAGGCTTTCCGTGGATTTGGTTCTCTAAGCTGTCACCATAGCTTGAGTCTGGTATAAGGCAGTGGTAATATGGAGAAAGACAGCAAGGGGCACAAGACTGCACCTTGTGGTGGTAGCTGTTAGATGAGTTTCCTTCTAACATGACAAATTACAGCCTTCAAGCTTGACTAACCCAGCTAAAATTCATGCTAGGAGTTTAAATAAACAGTCTGAAATAAATTCTTAAATACCTGTGAGATTCTGGAGGACAGATGATCTTCCAGAGGAGAAGGGAAAAGGCACTGCAACTGTACTACTTAAACAAAAAGAAACCCCAACAACAAACCACAACACCAAAAAACAAACACCCTGTAACAGCCTGTTGAAAAGGTGGGAACTAGAGGCTTACAAACAAGCTATGGAAGATACTAATAACTCTGTGAACAGCTAATATGAGTTTTTCAAGAACAAACCCCGGTTAATCCAGTCTAACTTCTTTCTGTGTCAGGCAAGGGACCTAGTGGATAGTTGCATCTTGACCTTTGAAAAAGTCTTTTTGATACTGTTCTGTTATGCAATAAATGGAAACAATATTATAGAAATATATCTGATTGGAAAACTATATTTGGAAATGGATGAACAATCAAAGTGAAAAGATGTGGTAAATTTCGGAAGAAGTCTGTCATTAAATTCCTGTTGGTATTTTCAGGAGTACTTGGACTACAGCATCTGCACATGAAGCCAAGATAACATGAAGGGCAGCCAGCATGTTTGAGTAAGATACAGAATTCAATAATCATTCCGACAAAACTGAGGAAACCACTGCATTTTTAAATGGAAAGCTATGGCTTCAGATGAATGAGGTGTTGCATTTGGGTAGGAGTAATCAGCTGTGCAGTCACAGTGGAGAGTTGACTGCAGAATAGAAACTCTAAGCTGTAGTAGGTTTAGATAACTGTAGATATTTAACATGCTTTCATGTTAAAAATAAGTGCTTCCAGAGTTACCAATCACACCTGAATATATGTATATATACATATGTGCATATATAGGAGAGAGAGATGTGCTGAGCCACCAGCAGAGATGCTGAAGTTGGTGACAAAGTCACTGTTGCTGATTTCTGTCCAAATAAGTGAGAACTTGGTGCATGGATGTGTAAAGGGGAGGTTGCCTTGTCTGCTTATTTTATTTCATTTAGCAGAGTGTCTCTTGTGATGAACTGAAACAGATGTGAGCAGCAGATGAGTTTACCTGTTTCAGTGGAGGAACTTTTATCCAGTTGCTTTCATAATTTTTGGGTCTACCCTCTTCTCAAGTACTGACTATTTTTGTAATCGGAATTAAAGTTGGACAAAACTATGATTTGTGCTTCTGCTTCAAGAATATTGTAAAGACTTGTTACTGAAACCTGTTAGGAAATTAGTATAGACTACTGGTACTAACTAGCAGTGCCCATTTCCATATCGGAGATGGATCAGAGAAATTGAAATCTTAATTTAGTGTCTAACCCCCTTTTCTTCTCTGAAACAAAGCAGTCTTTTTGTGTTTAAAAATACATGTTGGGAAAAATGCCTCAGGAACCTTCATATCATTATAAAAACAGTAAGCCTTTGCTGTTACTCAGAAGCCATTGGCTGTTACTGTGTGTTTGACATAGAAACCTACTGTACAATATGGAGGTAAAGCTCAATTTCCTGTTCTGCAACAAGTTGCAGCTGTTGGGACAAAATCCTGAAGAATTATTACTGTTTACAGAAATTTGAAGTGTCCTGCAGCAGTGCTTCACTAAAAGGTAGAAAACAAATTATTTTGTATTGTACTGAGGAAAGAATTTTAGCTGCCACATCTGCTAGGTGACATGTGTCTACGCTTAAATGCTAGAGGATCAAAACCAGGCCAGTGAGTTTTACTTATGACTGTGTGATATGTCTTATTCTCATGATGCGTCTCTTTTCTTGAAGAAACTTTTTGACAGGGAACAGATGTGGGGGGGGAAAAAAAATCTCTAGCTTGTTTGAAGGTAAAGATAGGCCTGTGAATCCTTGCAGCAGAATTATACCTTGAAACAGATTTTAGTTGAAGGCTGCACTAACTCTGCAGTTTACAATAAAGCCTATTTTACAGTTTCCTTGGGTTTTTTTTGTTTTAAGTTTGAGCAGTTGTTAATTATCTTTATTGTACTGAAGAGGAGGTAAATTGAAGTCAGACAGGCAAAGGTGTAATAAAATCATATGGATGAACACTGATATATTTTTACTTCAATACTCAACCCAATTATTCCTGCTACCCTTTTGCTAGCAGCAGTTCTTGTTTGGAGTATTTCAGTAATCTGGTTTGTAGCATCTCGCTGATAGCTGTGTTGGCACAACTGATGCAGCACTGATTTACTGAGTACCTAGGGAGGAACATCTGAGTATAGAAACTTATGAAACCAGTGTTGGTACTAGGGAAAAAATACCATGTTACATTGTCAGTAAACCATTTGTATACATGCACACCTCTTGCTGTGTGGATTTTTGTTGGTAACTCTGTATGAACTCTGCTGATACTACTTACTGTCTTGACAGCACCAGAGGAAGAATGGAATGCATTTGAATAGCAGCATTAGAAAATTACTAGAATTCATAATATCACTAATCTGTTACATAGGTTGTAGTAACAGTTATAAATGTAATTGACTTCTAAGCTTTGAAAAATAGTTGCAGATTTCTCGAAGTCAATTATTCTCACCCTCATGGTTTATAGTTTAATAATAAACTATTTGACAGGCTAAGAAGGGGGAAAGGAGGATAGTGGAAAGCATTACAATAAACGAGTTTATCAGGAATCATTTCTCTGGGTAAAAATAGTTGCTTTTCTTCTTAATAGTGTGTGATGGCAGGCCCCCTTTCTGGTTTTCTGACATCACCAGCCATAACTGGCCGTAGCAGATAAAGAATAATACCAGAATGAGTATCTGTCTGCAGCTACTTGTTATAATGTGTATGTGTAATCAATCTTAAGTGTCTCTCCAGAAATATGTAAAGATGGATTTGTGTCGCTTGGTGAGCCAAGAACATGCAACTTGACTTACTAAGTTTAGTAACTGAAGTGTGTGTGTGTTTAAGAGGGAGAGCTCCATCTACTGGAAAAACTTTCTGGTTTATGGAGTGCATTTTGAGTCAAGTGTGCAGTACTGATTTCTTGTCTGGTCTCAGGGATTTGTATTGAGAGCATTTGCAAAGAAACAGACTTCCTTCAACTTTAAAAAAAGTCTGATTTCTCAGATTTTCATCTTGACTTGTTTTGTTTTTAGGAACATCATCTCCAACGGGCTATCTCAGCACAACAAGTATATGGAGAGAAGAGGGATAACATGGTTATACCAGTTCCAGAAGCGGAAAGTAATATTGCATACTATGAATCTATATATCCTGGAGAATTTAAAATGCCAAAGCAGCTGATTCACATACAGCGTAAGTAAAGTAACTATTGTGGTTTAACCCCAGCTGGAAACTAAGCCCTCAATGCAACTGCTTGCTCAATCCTCCTGCAGGGGGATAGGGGAGAGAATCAGAAGGGTAAAAGCAAGAAAACTTTTGGATTGAGGTAAAGACAGCTTAATAGGTAAAGCAAAAGCTGTGCACGCAAGCAAAACAGAACAAGGAATTCATCTACCACTTCCCATCGGCAGGCAGGTTTTCTGCCATCTCCAGGAAAGTAGGGCTCCATCATGCCTAGCAGTTACTTGGAGAGACAAACACCATTGCTCTGAATGTCCCCCTCTTCCTTCTTCGCCCAGCTTTATATGCTGAGCATGACATCATATGGTATGGAATATCCCTCTGGCCAGCCTGGGTCAGCCCTTGCCGAGTCCCCCTCCTAGCTTCCTGTGCACCCTCAGCCTTCTTGCTGGCAGGCCAGAGCATAAGCTGGACTGTCCTTGACTGCTTAGCAACTGCTGAAACCATCAGTATGTTACCAACATTATTGTCATCCCAAATGCAAAACGCAGCACTATACTGGCTATGAGGAAGAAAATTAACTCTATCCCAGCCAACACCAGGATAGTAACTCATTCATCGAAGTCTACAACAAGAACTTTATTTTGCTAGTAGTTCAAGAGATTACTCTTAAATGCCTATTGAGCTCGCATCAAGACTGACTTCTGAGAATGCATTTTTTTCCAGCATGTAAAGGAATACATACTTACTGAAGAGGTATATTTAGTTCTTGATCAAGAAGTAGATAGATGTCCTTGAGTCTATGTCTGTATGTTAATACTTTAAATTTAACAATCTTAAAGGCCTGTTTCTGCCCTCTATAACACTCAGTAGTTTCAGCTTGCGGGGAAATTTAGGATCGTTAGGAAGGACAGACATAAACCTACTTGAAGAGGAGACTCTGTAATACAGAATTAAGAGATAGAGTACCTGTCCCCTGAAGCTTAACTGGGATAAATGACAGTAGAGTGGACTGGGAAGCCACGCAGAAATGGCAGTAGCAGTAGTATTTGCATATGTTTGGATAGAAGTGTTCTACATCTAAAAGTAGGTGTTTTGTCAGATCAGTGATGACTTGCAAATGTGTTGAGATTTTGCTTTTGTTGGAAGATAGCAGAACAGCTGTTCTGTTTGGCTGTGGCCCTGGATGTGAGCACCTCATTACTTCAGATAACTTTTGAAAATGTTACAAAAATATAATGTGTTGCAGAATTCTGTTATGTGGTGTAATTAGTAGAATTTTAAAAGTAGTATTTGTGCTATGTAAACGGATCTTATGCCTAAATAACTTCGCTTAAATGTTAGACATCTATATTGGCCAAACCTTCAGTGGTGGCCTAAAGTATGAGAGCATGCTGCTGTGCTCCTAGGCAAATGGAGATACTAATACTAGCAGTCTTCCATGCTGATACTAAGGTTACACTTTTTTCGTTCTTCTTTTCCTTATCTAGTGGTCTAATAGCTGAAATGGTAATTTTTATCTGCATTCCATTCTACCTATTTATTTATTGAAAGTAAATGACGCTTTTCACAGTGTGTTTCTAAGTGTGCATTGGGGAGGAAATTCGTGTCTCTTGCAAACAAAAACAACTTGAATGAGGCATGAGAACTAGGAAGATCTTGTTTTGAATGCAGAATGCTGCATTTTCATAGAATATAATGGAAAACAGAACAGTTGTTTGTGTTCTACAAACATGACTTACATTTCAGGATGCCCTGCTTACATAGGTTAGACCATGCTGGGCTAGTTTAGTCTGATTTGTCTACATAGCAGAAATCATTGATGAGAATATGTGTAAGGTCCTGGTAATAGAGTGTGTTTGGGTTGAAGTCTTAACTGTTGCTAACACAATACATGAAACTGCAGAACCTAAGACAGCACTGAAAATTTTGACCAATCTAAAAAATTTCTTACTGAAAGCAGTGAGGTAGAAAGCTGCTAGCTGGCTTGACTACTACTAAGCTTTCATTGTTTAACAAAAATATAGTCAAATAGCAACTTTTATTCCTGGTTTTTAATAGTGTAATTTTTTTCAAGAAAAACCTAGATGTAACTTCAGAGTAGCATTACTGCAACATGCAAATTAAATAACTTTGGTTTTGTCTTCGGAAGAATCTGGTGTGTACTCTAGACACTGCTATGAGAACGAAACATTTGTGGAGTAAAACTAACTTCAACTTTTGTTTTATCTTTCAGCTTTTAGTTTGGATGCTGAGCAGCCGGATTATGACTTGGATTCAGAAGATGAGATCTTTGTTAATAAATTGAAGAAAAGAATGGACATCTCTCCTTTGCAATTCGAGGAGATGATAGACAGACTAGAAAAGGGCAGTGGTCAGCAGGTACAATGGTACTTTGAATAAAGAATTTGAAATATGCACTCTATATATTGCTATATGAAAGTGACATGCTGGGTTTTACATTTAGCCAGTCAGCCTGCAAGAGGCCAAGCTGTTGCTGAAGGAAGATGATGAATTGATCAGAGAAGTGTATGAGTACTGGATTAAAAAGAGGAAAAACTGTCGAGGTCCCTCTCTTATCCCAGCAGTGAAACAAGAGAAGCGAGATGGTTCCAGCACAAATGATCCTTATGTTGCTTTTAGAAGACGAACAGAAAAGATGCAGACACGAAAAGTAAGTAGATCAGTACATCCTTCTGCTTTCTTTCTCTTCCTTTTCCCCCTCTCAGAAAGTAGCCTATATAAGGAAACAATTCTGCTATGTAGTATAAAACAATAAAATGTGGGATCGTCTTTTCTTTTACTTTGCAAGTGTAAAAACCATAAAAGAAAGAAAGTTTGTATTTATTTTTTCACTAAATCTACTGCTAAGCCTACTTATGGTGTTGGTAAGCTGTAGCTCATTGGTACTATGCAGTGTTTCTCTTTGGTTTAGCATGTGGTTTGGTTTTTTTATATATACGTAAATATTTAGAACTTAAATAATCTGAAGTGAATGATATGGGGAAACATATACACTGTGTATCTACAGAATCGAAAAAACGATGAAGCATCTTATGAGAAGATGCTTAAGCTGCGTCGAGATCTGAGTCGTGCAGTAACCATCCTGGAGATGATAAAGAGGAGGGAAAAAAGCAAGAGAGAGTTGCTGCATTTAACACTGGAAATTATGGAAAAGAGGTAATGTTTATAGAAAATTTGCTGCAGAAAGCTTTTGAACTTACTTTGTATTCAGATTCCCACAAATACTTAAAACAGTGAGAGATTTTTAAAATAAGCATTTAGATTAGACTTTCACATATACAGGGTAGTATATTTTCATATATGGCTATGGAGAGCAAAAGAAAACGTTAGGAAGTTGCTTATTATGGAAAAGTGACCCATCACGCAAATCTACGTTGTTTTATTATATGCGTACATGTATTCAAATGTATGTATATATCCTATATATTATACAGTAAGAGAGATGAGTTTTGGGTGAATTCATTTGGAGATTTGTATTAAACTTAAATACACAGACTAAGGAAATAGCAGCTAATTTTAAGGCCATTTCCAATAATTACCATTCTTCTTTTTCTTAATTATCAATGTTTTTTTGATTTTTTTTTTTTAGCAAACCTTGATCTAATACTGTATTGAGGAAGACAAGTATTTAATGCAGTATAACTTCTTGTTCTGTGAGTCATCTCCAACTAGTGTTCCTTTTGACATCCTGTTTGTCAGCTGTGCTGAAGACCCAAGTGCTGTGCTCCATCAGCTGTCACTTTCCCAATCAACTGAGAATCACATTTGCAATGTGGAGTTGTTCTTTAGGTTGATACCTGAATAGACTTCTCTAGCTTAAGCATCCATGCTTGAAAACAAATGTTTTGAGGCAGTATTTTAAAGCTCTAAAGCTCACCTTTTAGTCTGCTTTCTTAGGGAGACCAGTTGAATGTCAGTTTGCCCTCTCTACCAGGGACACTTTTTTCAAGCACTGACCATTTTTAGTAGAACTAGAGGGGAGCAATCTCAAAAGATATTCCAGTAGCTTTTTTCAAGAAAAGAAGCTGTTGAATGGAGGAAGGACTCTAATGCCCCCCTCAGAATGGAAAACTGCGCTTCAACTCGGCACTTTCCACTGGACTTGAAATGTTCTGTGTTTCATGGATCTGCTTGTTGTGAGACTATTCCGTAACACAGAATAGGGAGGATTCATGAACAAGGCACTCTCCCTCACCGTTTAAAAGCTTTTGAGTGATAAATGTTTTTTTTTTTTTTTAAATGGTACCTGTCCCCAAGTGAGGGAGGAGGGCAACCCTCTCCCTTCTTTCCTTCTAGTCTCTGCTTCTTCACTTTACTTTACTATTTTTTGGAGATGTCTTACAGGCTTTACAGGGTAGTTAATCTTTTATTTATTTGTCAGCACTAGTCATTGCAATGAATCCTTGTTATTAGTCCCATTTTCTGGAACAATACTTTCTGTACTTCTTGCTGTCATCCTGGATGTCCCTTTACCCCACATTGCAAGTATTAGTGTTGTGCAATTTTTTTTACCAGACGTACATTGTAAATGTTCTAATAAATAAAAAATTCTGATTTCAGGTATAATTTGGGTGACTACAGTGGAGAGATCATGTCTGAGGTTATGGCACAGCGGCAGCCAATTAAACCTACCTATGCTATTCCCATCATTCCTGTGACTAACAGCAGTCCTTTTAAACACCAAGAAGCTATGGAACTGAAAGAATTTAAAGTTAAAGTGAGTAATGTCAGTAACCAAGTTATTGGTTCATGCTATTACATATGCAAGATACAGCATTTTAGGATGGGAGGAGGGGGGAAGCTAAAACTGGAAATACACTAGCAAAGCTGCAGTTGGAATAAAATGCTTTGTTCTGTTGGAGTTATGAGGATAACATATGGACTACTGGCATTCCTCAAGACAGAAATAAAGGAAATACAGATGACTAGAGACAAAAGGACATGTGCAATTGTATTCTTATTCTGGGGGATAGGAACATTTTTCTCTTAACGCTTTCCATAAAGTTAGGATATCCTGAACAAAACTGTATTTGTTACCTAGATATTGGACAAAGGTAGGACTAATGAGGTAAAACCTATATCTTGTTCTAAATTCATGTACTTATTTTAATCTGGTGGGTTGTTTTTTATTTTGTTTCTTAAATATGCTCCACTGATATATATCTTTGTATTTAAGTAAAGTGTCAAATAACCTTATTTGATTTAGAAAGCTGACCAGCACTTTTTTCCCTGCAGGCTTTAATTTTTGTGTCATACAAAGCATAGCTACAGTGCCAACAACTGAACATATTAAATAGGTCAGGTAACAGAGGAGAAATGCTGAGGTATAATTTGCATTTTAAACAAAGAGTTCTTATAACTGAATAATGTCCAAAGGCTCTTCTGAATCTGCCAAGGTGGCTTGAATTAGTGAATATTTCCATTGATAGCAGAGCATTGTAATTGAGATCGCTGGAGTGTACTTACCTGTTTGTGATGTTGGGTCAGTGCAGTGTCTTGCAGCTTGAAAGAAATCTGTTTCTTGGAAAATTGGGAAATTAACTTAAACTTGAATTTGTATAGTATGGGGAAATGTGTTCAATTTTTTAGAGGATTTTCTGAGATGCTAGGTATCTTTGAGAAGTCTAATTTCTACTTTTGCTTTTAAAGCATTGTTTTGTACTTAGTAATTCCCCAATGCTGCATAAATGCCTATTAATTTAAAATGTTAGAAAATAAAAACGGTACCTCATGGAGGTCATTGTATATTTTTTTTTCTTCAAAAATCACTACTTCTCCAAACTAGTACTGTTACCTTAATCACTAGTGTTTTATCTAGCATGGATTGAGCAAACAGTGCTTGGTTCTACCTTGTCTGTGAAACGTTTCAATTACTGGAAATGAAATACACTTATTCATGAAACGACTATGTTTTGCTGTCAAGATGGTGGGGAGATGAGTTCTCTTTTTAGTTTGCTTACACAGGAGTTTTCTAGAACTCCTGTTTTAATCTAATTTTGCTTGTGTGTGTTCTTGCAGCAAGATAAACCTGATGTTATTAGACCCAAAAGAAAGTATGAGAAGAAGCCAAAAGTCTTACCTTCATCTGTTGCTGCTACTCCTCAACAGACAAGTCCTGCTGCACTGCCAGTCTTCAATGCTAAGGATTTGAATCAGTATGATTTTCCTAGCTCAGATGAAGAGCCTCTCTCCCAGGTAGGACCTCCAGAGTTCTATGC